TGGAACTCGTAATACCACCACTTCTTGATCTAATTATATTAATATATAAGGAAATAAAACATTCTAGACCACAAAGGGAAACCTTTTATTCACGTGTCATATTTATTTGTTTCTTCGAATGGGGTCTTATTATTTTAAGTTTATTCTTCATTGATAGAAAAATGATACATTTTAAATTCTATCAAATAAGGACATTATAAGTTTTTCAACAGTTTTTGTACAAATACACAGCTGAAATTTTTCTAAATATAAATGTTTCTGTTAGAATTTGTAGGAATAGTGCATTAACATTGAACAGAAGTATGAAAATAATTGGCTCTGTTTTGTGTTAAAATAAAACATTGAAAAGTTGACTAAAAAAGTGTCTACATTAATTTTTTTTTAAATATACAAAATAAACTTGAATGTCCACAGAAAAAAACGTATTTTTTCAACTTGCAATTCTTGCTTCAAAAGTCCGTTTGCCTTCACGTATATGTATATATATGGTGTACACCTAAAAGATATTAATTTCAACAAAAGCTCAAAAGCTACTGCCAAAATAAATTTCACTGAATATTGAAATATCATCCTGTAGTTTGCCTTTACAGTATGTACAATTCGTTTTGAAACACTCTACATATAGTACGAGGACCGGCTTAAAACAGTAAATGAAATTGTCGATGTTAGTTGTTTTGGATGAAGAATCTCTCTCCTCGAGCGATGGAACACATGTTTTTAAATATCCTGTATATCTCGTCAGTTTCTTTTGCCAATTTTTAACATTTCTTATATTAAGTTCAAGATATAATAACTTCAAATACACCTAAATACTTCAATAATTTACTTTACTGTATATAGGGTGTCTCGTAAATAATAGTACATACTTCAAACGTAACTTGGATGAAAATAAACCGATTAGATTAAGTTATTGTAGTACGATTTTGCTTTCTTAAAAAATTTGAGGCCTTAAAAATTTTTATTTTGTTTTTTAAAATAATTCCGTTACTATATTGTCACTTTCGTTTTTTGCCATATTTTTTTGTTGGCAGATATTTTGAGAAAATAATTATTTTGAAATGCCACTTCACATTCAGATGAAACTGGTTAAACTGTACATTTGATTAAATTGAATGTGGTCTTAACGACCTCTAACGTTTCGTTCTGTTACTATGTGAAAGATTATAGTTAGTAAGACAAAATTTGAAACTTGAACAAGAAATCACATGTGAATGAAACAAAATGTTTCGTAAATTGTTGACGTATAAACTGTCATTAAGGTTTGACCTAGCATTTTATTTACATCTTGTATAAATGCCTATGTTTAAGAAATAAAATAAAAACAATACAGTTTGGAGACAATATTTTCAGGATCGTGCTGATAATGAAAATAGTGCTACATTTATTAAATTTGACACAAAATTCATATTTTCCAAACGGGTTTACTACCCAAGATTGAGAATTCCACAATTTTCAGTTTTTCAGGGCAATTCACAATGTATCTCTTTAAAAAAATGTTACCCGTGGTGAAATGACCGAATGAACTTATATAAACTGTTAATTTTTGTGTTTTGTAGTTACGTAAATTTAATTTTTCATTTACGATTATTTTTTTAGATATGCATTGAGATATACCTTATTTCTCTCAAAAATGTTTATAGAAAATGTATATATGTACACAGTTATGGTAAAGCTTTGATAATATAAAAAATCTAGACGTTCTTAGCCAACATTTTCAGTACTGAGAGCAAAGCAATATTACAGTTTTTATGTCTTCTGATACAATTAAAATGGTTCACCTTCTATGTACTAACATTTCTTTGAATCTTAAGACAGATAATTCCGAGGTCTTGGTAGTATGAATAATATAAAAAATATCCTAAAATAATTTGCATCAAATCGATTTATTAACTCTTAAAATCATTTTCGATTCTACAGGGTGTCTCATTTTTGGGGCCTTACCTAACCTATTTTTTTCAAGAGACACCTCTCATATTAGGTACCTACTAAAATTTCTAATTTCTTCTGAAAAAAATTTAATTAGATACCTTCTTGGACATTTAATACACCCTGTACAAGGGTTTTGGGAAACAATGTCACATATTCGGAAGTTGACAGAACTTAAGAAATTAGAATATTTTTTTTATGATTGTTTTTGAGTTAAAGGGCGTCAAAGATGATTTTTTTAAATCTAATTTTGGCTATCTTCCGAAAAATAATGTGATAAAATTTGGTACGGGTAGGTTTTTGGGAGTACAAAATACGTTGCATATTATAATGCAAAAATTTATACAAAAAAGGTACTTTTGTTAAAATCGCTGTAAACGCACTGTTTTTAAGAAAAACGCAATTAACTGCCCTAAAGTCAACCAACATCTACTTCTTAATATACAAGGTGTCCGAAAAGAAGTAGTCTAGATCAGAGCTGGGAGTATTTTGACAAAACAAATACCAAATAGTATTTTAAATACAAAATAATATTTTTTATTTTGTAATTAAAATACTTTTATTATAACAGCAAAAATATTTTGTATTTCAAATCCTTTAGTAAAGTATTTTGTATTTTGTATTTTAAAAAAATATTTAAAATCTTCTAAATGTAATTTAAATACTCTTGAGTAATTAAAATACTCGAAGTATTTAAAATACCCAAAATACCTGCCAAAAACAAATACTCTTTGCCTGTTACGACTGACGACTGGTACAGCACGCGCTAAAAAAAATTACGCACCGGCACGCCTGGATTTAGCGCTTTCTACTCTGCATTCTGCAATTTTTTTTAAATTTTTTGATGATCTCGAAATTGGGCTTGCCTTACACATACAATATATTTTTTTAAGTCACATCTTAAGAGTTTCAGATTTAATGTTTCACAAAAATATTTTAAATACCTACTGTTAATGAATATTTTCAATATACAGGGTGATTCCCAAACAGTGACCAAAAATGAAACCTCGTATTCTTTGGTGAATTTTAAGGGGAGTCTTTCATATAGTTTTTATCTAGGACGCTTCGTTGACAGGGTGATAATCTTAAAAAAATATTTTTCATTTCGTTTTTTAAGTTCTACTCGAAAATCAAGCTTTTTCGAAAAACAAAAAGAGAATAGTAGTTTGTAGAAAATTTACGAATCCGAAAATATCATGATTGTTACTGTGTAGCACTGCAGTGGCGTACTATTTCATTTAGATTAATATGCCACCGATACCCTGTATCTCCGCCACTGGAACATCCAAATTTTAGGAAAAGGCCTCGGATTTTAGACACTGTTTACATAAGTACATGTGCCCGATTTCAAATTATTTCACTAGTTTTTAAATTATTTAAAAAATTAAAGCATTTTTTTAAGTTTAACACCCTGTATCTTGTTAACAAAGCGTGCTAGATAAAAACTTCACACGAAAGACTCCCCTTAAAATTCACCGAAGAATATGAGGTTCATTTCATTTTTGGTCACCGTTTGTGAATCACCCTGTATTTAATATTCAACATACTTAGGCCCGGTACTTTGAGTCTCGGTTAAAGATTGATTAACTGATCAGGCGATTAGACTGTACATATAATGATATAAATATAATCACAGTCTCATCGCCTAAGTAGTTAATCGAGCCTTAACCGAGACTCAAAGTACCGGGCCTTAAAATACTATTTTAAATACTAAGTAATTTGTATTTAAAATACTTTGCCAAAGAAATATTTTGTTTTTAAGTATTTTAAAATACTTTCATACTAGTATTTTGTAATTTGTATTTTAAATACATTTTCAAAGTATTTTGCCCAGCTCTGGTCTAGATGAAAATAAACCGATCTGGATCAACCTACCTTAGTACAATTTTGGTTCCTTAAAAAGTTATGTCATTATTAGTTACAATGGAATAAATATTTCTTGAGAGACGATAACGTTTTAAGGAATTAAAATTGTACTAAAATAATGTGCTCTAAACATATTTTCATCCTTGTAGTGTAGACCATTCGTTTCTAGACACCCGGTATATTAATTGATTGACTTTATGACAGCCAATTGCGTTTTTCTCGAAAACGATGCGTTTCCAGCTGTTTTCATAAAGTCTTATGAAGTAGTCACTTTTTTATAAAATGAAATTTCACACTATTGATATACGGCATATTCTGTAAATAATTTAAAAGAGAGAAAGATGGCAGCTCCTTTAGCAGTTGGTCAAAAACTAATAACACTACCGGATTTAGAACCTCAAAAACCTGTAAGTATTACATTGTTTTTTGGAAAAATTTGATTTAAAAAAAATCATTTTTGTCACTGTTTTTCAAAAATAGGAAATATCGTCATACTTTTTGATGTTCTATCGGCTTCTGAATTTATGGTATCTATTCAAAATCATCACGCGGTATAGATGAAAATTATTATAAAATATGAAGGTACGACTTTATTTGGGTGCAACACTTTCTTATATTATTGACATTAGCTTAAATGCGACATTGTGTATAGCACATGTTTTTGGGAAGTGCAAAATAGAGACCATCATAGTTATTACCCTTATCAAGTGTTCAGAGGGTAAGTACCTACATAAGTAATCAATAATATAAACATTTAAAAACTGAAACACCATGTATAGATATATTTATAGGAAGTGTGTTTGTATAGGTATGTATGTATACCTATCTCACGCGCCTACGTATTTCTCTTTAAAATAAAGACAGATATATGAATTGACTTTCCCAGTAATTCATTGAATACTGATTTTTTTACCTACACGAGTACCTACGTGAATCACAAATGTAAATTATTTGAGTTAAGCGATGTAGGCAATTAAGTACACGTATCTTTCATTATCTGATAAAATTAAATATTCAGAAATTTTTTAGTCGACCTCAATAAGTTCGGTATAACTTTCGAATGAAGTGAAGATCTCTTTTCTGTTTACATTTTGAAACTGGTAGTTCATGAGATCAGGAGATAGGCGCTTGCGTCATGATAGATAGGGCGGGGTTTACAGTACAACTACACATTACATTATACCACAAGTCAGTCGGTGTTCGGTTGCGGGTAGGGTGTGTTAGTCAGTGCTTTCATAAAATACATTTAAAAAAAAAATTAAACCGAAAATCCCTGCAAAATATAAGAAAATATCTTTAAAATAACACCGCGCACCGTATTTTAAAACATTGTAACAAACTGCATCTTCAACTAAAGCAATAAAGTGTGTTTGTAAAATCCTAACCTATAAAGTGAATATTGGTAAAAGAATGTTAAGGCTCGGTTAATCCTTTAAGAATTTGCATGTTTTCTGTGAACATAATTTATTAAGTGTGTTTTAAAATAATTTATACGGGTTTAGTCTGTACTTAGAATTATTTATTTTAAAAACTTGTGTTGAGTTTTAATGATTACGCTATCTGGTGGTTTTGTGAAGTAATAAAAATAAACAAAAAGAAGACAACATAGTAAGTAAACATTTGTTCACTTTATTTGTAATTTTGATAGCATTTAAACCAATAAATATAAAAACACTGACGGTGGTTGTTCACCTATTCTATTGTCGTTCGGTGTAGACAGTCAGAGATCAGAGGAGTTTGGAATTGGAGTCTGACTAGCTTGCTTGTCATTTCATGATTCAGACCGTGACTTTCGTCATCGGTTGAGTTTATCCTACGTTTTACAGCTCTAGCTCGTACTGGAGTTGTCAAGAGCTAGACAGTTGATTAAAAGGTATGGTCATGTAAATCAAATATTCAATCATTAAGCCATTTTTTATCTATTCGTGAAACATATTTTACCCCTATCGAAGAGTAATGCCAATGCTAATAATACATGTATTAGTGTTTAATATTTGGAATTGGTTTAAAATTAAAACATATTTAAGATATTTTACACACATTAAAATCCTCGTTTTTTAAATACAGTAATATATGAAAATTAAATATTCCCCATAAGATAGTGAAATACCATTTCAATAATGAATAACTGTTAGAGGTTTAAACATGCCAGGGTCTGATATCGAAATATGTACAGTAGATAAGTATTTCAAAATATCATCTATTTGATTTAGTATTACTAATTTTTTATGTAATATTTTAGTATTTTAGATTTCAAACATACATATGTAGGTATTTCTACCTAACCTTAAAAAAACTTTGTTACATGCTATATTTACATTTCATGTTTTCTACATAGACATTCCTTATTGTTATACCTACCTACACATAGATACGCCCTGGGTGTAAGATGATGCAAAGAACAAATCATAGATCTCAAAACGTTAATATAAATCCCTGATATAAGTGCAGTCATAAATCAATTGTCAATTAGGTAATTTAATAATCAATAAAAAATGTTACAAATTAGCGACATGTTATGATTACATCCTATCACTATTTAATTTATGGTACTTGGCGTAGATAATGTGTTCTTGAAACTGTTTTAGAATAATTTTTTATTTCTTAAATACAAATTTTAGTACTTATGTACCTGTACAAAAAATTTTTGACGTAAGGTTAGACATATGTTTTGATAGTAACCCTTTTCGAGCTTTCCTTTGTTTTAGTTCCCCATTCGATATTGTAGAACATACTATTTTATCTAACAAAGTAGAAAAAATGGAGGACATTGCCTTGTATTGATTAAAAACATGTTGGCAGGGCATATCTGTGATTGCACAGATCCACCTATTTTGCTGGCAGGGCATATCTGTGATTGCACAAATCCACCTATATTTTTTCTGTGAACACGTGGTGACGTGTCATTTATCGAAGCAGTGATACAGTAATTTTTGCAGTGGCACATAAATACTTTTAAATCTTGTACAAGGATACGGTTGTTTACTATACAGTGCAAGTATGTCCATACATCCGATTCAGTGATACTTGAAGTTCGGTCTTGTTCGAGTGGTAGAACACTCCTTAAGTAAATAAGTACAAATTTGTGAGTGTTTAAAAAATGCATTTACATGGGCACGTCAAAATAGACATAAGTGTAATTAAATATATTATATAACTACACATGGAAATAAGAAAATGTCTGAAAATATAGGTATTCCAGTAAATTTATGTTTGTCATTTGATGTGTGGTATGTGGTGTACCTGTTTTTTCTGAAACTACCCAACTTTTAAAATTGGCATGATACTTATATAGCCTGGTGATTTATTATAATCTTTAATTTTATAATTTTGATTTCCTTTCATAAATAACGTTTGTTTGGCTGAAATTATTAGTGACGTTTTTTATTGTAGATATTTAATATTTTTCCACCCCTGGAAATTGAAATCTTGCCCCACAAAAATTGTCAAACTCAATAAATTTGTATCAAATTATCCAACTTTCTAAAAAATGGAATGGTGATTTATTATAACCTTTAATTTAATAATTCTGATTACAGTTCATGAATGACTTATTATACCTATGTAGGTATTGACTGAAATATTAGTGACATCCACATCATATGACATATTTTATAGGTTATATTTCCAACTGTCGTGTAATTTACATATTTAGATGTTTTTCCATTTCTGAAAATTAAAATCTTACTCCACAAAAATTTCCAAAATCCATAAATTTGTGTCGAACCAAAAATCGCTGCTGCTTTAGTAGCCCATTTCTCGAACTATTTTTCGTATCTATCTTTGTTGATTGTTTTTAAGGTTTAATATGTAAAGAAGGATACAACTTTTTTTGTGATAAGAAAAAACCCCTCTTTATATACATACATAATTGACTATAACAATGTTTGTCTATGGCAACTTCTATTGTCCATGATTTTTAATTTTCAGGGTGTACTTAATTAAAATAGTTCGTCATACTTTAATCGTTAACAATGAATTAGGATAGTTCAGAGAGGGTGTAAAGAAAAAATGTGTGCTTTTAGATTGAAAAAAATTGCTTAACCCATTTTCTAGGCTATTTTGATTAACATTTGGTGTCACTTTGTTTTTGAACAAATGTATGTGCATGTTATGTATGAGTTAAATCAATCTCGCAACTACAATCCCCTACGAGTGGTAGTCGCCCCTTCGAAAATCATTATAGGGGACAAGGGTCGAGTATTTGAAATGTGTTGGTATTCTCTTTACACGACATTTGCCATGTTTTAATATCTAATAATTGAAGCAAAACTATTAATGCCCATAAATTTCAAAATGAGTGAGAATGAGAGTGGAGGATTGAAGTGATGCAAAATTCTCGAGAATAAACGCGAATTTAACAAACTATCCTGGGATATTTAATATAAAGTAAAAGTTGACGCTTCAATTTTTTTCGTGGTTTGTCTCGTTCTCAAAATTTCTTCTCATCAATATTCTAATCTAATTACTGTCCAGAAAAAAAAAGCTCTTATTTCGATTATTTTTGTGTCTTCAAATTTGATTAATAAAATTACATGAGGCTGAGTTTGTGATTAAAAGCAAACCTTTTCTTTCGGGCTGTGCGTAATGAGTTACTATATTCGAAAACAGAAAATAAAAATAACAAAACATAATAAAAATTTAAATTTTCATCCTAGTGGATCACTACTACTATCGCTACTGTCACTGATTACTGTTATCGTCATTAAAATTATCATTAAGTCACATACCTACTCATTCCAGCTGCAATATTGCTTCAATTTAAATTACATGCAATCTCTGTTAACAATTTTTCTGTTTTATTAACAGTTAATCTATTACGTTATTTGGATTGATGAAAGGAATATTTACTGAGAGCTCTTTCAGTTGTAGCTGAAGATCTTGGCAGCGTTATTTTAACTAACATGAAAAACATCCGTTTAGGAAAACTGCGGTAATTCTATTATCCTGATTTTTGTTTCACTAAAATTTGGTTTATTATTTACCATATAAAAGTCATACCTTAAATTAATGAAAATAGAGTAAAAAGTACTCAAAATGTTTATAAAGATTTGAAATAAATTAGAATAGAGAAATAAACAGTATACCTTCAGAATGCGTCTGTGCATTTATGTTTGTTTTTACTTTAATACTAACACCTTCAGATATATACATACCATCAACAAACTGTTATAAACAGAATTTGTTTTCTTCTCGTTGACACTGTCAGTTCAAGAGATAATACATACAGATCCTTTCTTTTCAGTTTAGATTTCATTAAATTTTGCTAGATTTATGTGGGAAGATGTTGTTCTTTATTCGTTTGCACTGGCCTTCTATAGAATGTAAGGAATTTGATTTCACAATGTCGGCAAGGTTTAAGCGGTGAGAAATACAACCGTATTCAATAATACCAGTTCCTTCGGCAATCAACTTTCTTGCTCGGACTATTGTTGCTGCATTATCGGCAACTAAGCCAATTACCCTTTGTTGCCCAATTTCATTAATATTTTTCAATAACTCCGGTTTTATGTATTCAGCTGCGTGACGTTCTAAATCAGTTGTAAAGGTTTTGTACGGTTTAACTTATTTCATCTGGCAGGTGAAGGTCGGATGTGCCGTGGCAAAATATCGTAGCAGTCCGCGTAGCCTGTTATCGGAACTCGTAGAGTAAATGTTATATGTTCTCTCAAAAAAGTAAAGGAGCCCGCATAAAAACATTCAAAACATTTATATTCACTGAGGATGTTCTGTTGTATTTATAGGACGTCCGGATGACTATATTGCACGTGCAAAATCAATTTCTGTCTAATAAATGGAAAAAAAAGGAATACAATATCAGAAACATAATTTTTATAAAGTATTTGTTGTAGTTAAAGGACATGCTCGTGCAAAAGTCATCAATTTCTATCTAATAAAGGAAAAAAAGAAATAGAATATCGGACGACAGTCAAAACAACAAAATTATCTTTTGAAGGACATGGGGTAGGACAAGAAGATACATTTTTAGTGTTATTAGTATCCTCTTTAGAGACTTTCTGGGTTCATGTTGATGGCAGAAATTTTTTGACTTCCAAAATATAACGGTAGATTAGGAATATGGATCAGGGCTGCTGTTTCTTTACTTAACAATTAGTTCATTCTCATTTAAAACCGTTTTATGTATTTATAATAAACAGGTTACCGATATTAATTGCACATACCCAGGGAAAAACCACAGGCGTAATTTGGTATGAATCATATTTGAATAATACCTACCGAGTACAATTTGAATAATACTTTGGTAATACTTAATTATTTATTTCATATAAATTTGAAGCCGCTACACTCCCCACTTCCTTCCTCTTTTCTATTGTTTCTGAGTAACATTTGTAATTAATTATGAAAATGACTATTTGGTGTATAATTTTTGACCAGCTATTTTCCCTTCGGCATCTGGTTGAAGTGATATTCAGCTATTTGTGATTAAATAACGGAAAAAGTAAACGTTAGACAGAAAATCTAAACGTTTTGTTTTCAGTTTCAATCTGCACAAACAAGTATAAACCTGTCACAGAACCGATACGTAAATATGTAAACGGGTACAATAAGGCCTTGGCTAAACCGAAGAGCGAACGATAATCGTAGAGGTTCCTTTTGGACACGGGCAGCTGAAACTCATTTTACCGCATTCGACCTTGTCGACGTAATTCGCGATGAAAAATTCCTTCACTCTAAATTCAAACTAATTTGTTTTAACGTCGCCCTCTACACGTTTCAATATTGCCCGCATGTTACAGTTTGGTGGGGCCACATACGCACCTAATAAATCACGTTTTAAAAAATTACATTTGGCTTTTTAATTTAGTTTTTTGTAATATTCCAAAACCACTTCTCTTCGTTACGATAACCTGTATTTAAATGTATAGTACAAATGTTCAAACATCAATGCTTGTATTATTAAAACGCCTGGAATCAACGCCAGAAGAAATCGACGAAACTCATTTTTTTTATTCAGTCTACGCGTTAAGGAATTTGTTGCAAACGTGCATGGCCACATAATTGGTAAATACTACGAATATTTAATAATAGCAAACCTTTATTTTCAATCATAAAAGAGGAAGTTTGATAAATGTACGAGATAACTTTTATCGAAACTTTATGTTACAGAGGCAGATAATACGCTTTGTTCCTCTTCAGTTTATTATTAGAATTCGCTCAAAATCAAACAATTACGAATATTTTCTGTATTACTAAAACGCATCCGGAGTTGTGATATGACAGATAACCATCGAATTTTTTACTTTTGACTAAGCGCTAGAAATTTGCTGCTAACATACACTACCATGTATTTGAGAAAAACTACAAGTATTTAATTATTCCAAGGATCGTTAATCATAAATAAATTGTTTCCTTTATTAGTTTTTCAGAATTAGCTGCCGCATCCTTAAAATGATAATCAATCGGTTAATAATCAAATTAATTCCCACATATTTGCCATTTTTCGTATTGTTAAATATTTTCAGTCATAAAATGGTAAGAAATAGGAATTTGTTACTGACCTAAATTTGTCCAGTAAAATACTCGCTTTCATAATTACTTTTACTAAAACGTTACTAAGTTATTCAAATATTACTCAAGTTTATGAAATTTAGATATAGTAAAAGTCTGGATAAACACAAAAATTTAATAAATTAATAAGTTGCTAGAATATACAGATTGAGATTACCGACTATTAAAGTGCGTCGATGTACTTGTCATTCATAACAGATAGTAAAGATAACAAACACTATATTCCTATTAGATCAGATGCTTCCGGCGCATGCGCATATCATTTGTGTGTTGTCAATAGTTTAATAAAAGTATGAAGCTTATAACATTTGACTAAATCTAACCTAGACTAGCCTAAGTAAAGTTTTGCGCCTCATTTTTCTTGATGTGACAATTTTGCATTTATTAAATTGCATTTTTTTCCAAAAAAGTCGTATCTTGCGTTCTTTATTTAAATTTTCTTAAATTTTCCCGGTATATCCAAATTTTAAAGTTGTGTTCGTAATTAAAAAGCTAAAAAATCTCAACTCATCTCATCAAGGAAGATAGAGCAAAATTTTACACCGATCATAGTAGTTATTTTTTCTTTTAGAGGATAAAAGTTTTGAATTTATTAAAAATATATATGATTTTCAACTTGAACACCCTGTATCTTTGAGACTAAACACCTCAGGGCACATATTATATATGTTGTTAGAATTTAACTAAAAATTCCATATATTTTTCGAGAAATATGTCTAATTTTGGCTGACTAAATTTTCTAAAAATTTCCTGTATATCTTTTTAAATCAAATGAAACTGTTTCTCATTCCGAGAAAACCAAAATGCCGCCACTGTATAATTTTCGAAATAATCATACTTAATTAAATATCATGTGGGAGATACAGAGTAAAAATTTGGAAGTCTTCCTGGAAAAGATCAAGGAATTATTTAGTCAAAATTTGGTATAATCCTGGTCTTTTCTTTGAAACGGGCCGTTTTAAAATGGGGTTTAGCCACTCTATCTGATTTTGACAGAAAGTGAAATAATGTAAAAAAAACTTGTGCCCCAGAATTGTTTTATTTTTGTATGAAATATTAAAATAAAAGGAATTTGGCGGACAACTGCAACGTGCCTACAATACGCTGTTTATTGATAGGAAATTCAACCTCATGCCACTGGCGTTCTCATTTTGTTTAGTGATAGATTGACAAAGAGGAGTCGCTTAAATAAGAAGTTTTCTATAGTAATAACGGCGTCCTTAGTCGTGATAACAATAAACGGTTTGAATTAAAATTTTGAAAATCAAATAAAAATGTATTTAAGGAGTTATCGATTTATTCCATTTTGTAGTATAGTCTTTCCGAAGGCAGTTGAACATGTAAAAAACGCCTGGCAATAAAATTTAATGACTCATATGCGTCCCTTAAAAAGTTTTCTGCTAAAGATGAAAAATTATAATAATTTGTATACAATGTCTAGAAAATTTCTATTATATGTTCATTTGACCAACAACATATTTTAATTATTTGTGTCCCATGTTGTGTTAATATTATTTCTCCCTTTCGCAATTGTAATATGATTAATAGAAGGTGCCTATAATAAATTAAAATTACCTGAATCACACCAAATTCCGCATTGCTGCACTGCACTGCTGGAAAAATGGAAGAGACCTTTTTTCATTGAAATACAATACAGAATTAGATACATATATCTCTATATTTTTAGCGACAGTGACTTTTTTATCCTTTCTTTGTTAAGGACTGTAGAACAATTTTCATTATTATATTTTTCAATTCGAGAACTTCTAAAATCTGATCTGGATCTCGAAAAGTAAGCCGTTTATGAAAAGGTCGAACTTTTCTTCTTAAAATAAGCATCTCTGAAATATGTTTAAATATTTAAATTACATATTATACACATCTGGCCCAATATGAATGAATTAATTTATAAAGGAAAATTAAATCACAATTAAAAATAGTGCTTTTAATTAAGGGCGCCCCCCTTAATTTTTTATGCTTAATTTTCAGTGAATTTATAGCAAGTCATTTGACGAGGGTTTTAGAAAATCCAAGCGAGCCAGAAACAATATAAATTCACTGTAGCAGTTATACCAGTTTCTCCATGGTATAAGTCAGTTTCAGAATAAGGGGGAAAAAACATATTTTTACTTCTTATGTTTATCATTACATTTCCAGAACTTTACAGCTTGTTGAAAAATCGCGTGGGGTACTATAAACATGAATTAATCATAATTATTGAGTATTTTTACAAAATTTTCGACAAACAAGAAAGGTATAATCCCATGTTTTCCATATTTCACTGCGGAAAATTAAAGGAATCCTTGTATTGGTTTTTTATCATAGTCTTACTAAAAGTACGATTTCTTGTGTATAAAACGTCAGCCTTAAGCAAATCTTTTTTCATAATCAAATATATTTTCTTACGATCTTTCTTTTTTTTGCTTTCACTAAAAATCAGCACCAAAATGAGCAAATGTGAACGCCAGTGTGAATTTAAAATTTGATGGAAATAATTCTCACTTGCCAATGCGGCCCTGTTTTATTTATGCACTGAAGTAACAAACTCTGTCTATGATTCTCGTAATTAAGTATTCCAGGAACTGATTGACATATGATAATTAATTCAAATCCATTGATTTCAGATCCGGATGTCTATGATTTTACGAGATATTGGATTATGAACGTATTATATATTTTGAATTATGAAATCCTCCTTCGGTCTAAGCCACCTACTGTTATGAAATAAGCTCGGAAATAAGGTAATTATTTTTATTTTGCAAAACAATTAGAACTTCATATTTATAACTTTCTTGGATTTTCTAATAAGATCTCTTAGTGAGAATTTTCCATATTTCAAAAAATTTGTGTTCAAGGTCATTTCTGAATTTTACTAACAATTTAACGTTCTGTTTATATGTATAAGATTGACATTTTCTCATAAATTTATCAATTTTTTTTTTCTGGAAACAAATAGGGACACCGGAAGTTTTTTTTGACCCTTCTGATTTTTTTATACAAACTTTATATCATCTTGACTTAAAATGGAATTGTCTGGTATTGAAAACCAAAAAAATGCCCCCTAGGAAGAAATTAAAAGGGCCTGGGCAGGTAGAATTCTAATACCGAAGATTTCAGTTCGAAGGTCACGTAAAGTACCTCAAAATTGGCGACATAGCCGGATTTCTTCGTTGACTGCTGAACGATAAGCTACGTAGTGAGTTTTTTTATATTCAAATCGCGGCCTTAGCCCAGTAAAAGTAGGATTTTTAAACTTCCGGCATGTGGCGTGCGGTAGCGGCATTGGCCTGGTTATCACTTAGGTAGTGTTCTATGAAAATATTCAATATTGTGCACCTTTCTATACATATTGAAATTGTGGTCCTGTAACAGCCCTAAATACTGAAATATAGTTGGACTTTATTTTTCTTTGTTGCTGGAAGTTTAAGAGAAATGGATAGGATTCAGTGGCGTACGTGATATTTTCTGTAAGTGTTTTTCTGTTATAAACCAAACGTTCACAGGATGTTCTTTAAAACCCCTAACCTGATATCACGGAAACTAAAAGAAAGTTCTGTAGAAAAATGTGTAGAGAATAGACATGATTACAAACGGGTTGACCCTTTGTAGTAGTGTAGATATGGCACTCGCATTTGATGACGTGAACTTAGAAAATGATCCAAGTGAAAAACCGTTAATTTCTAAGTGACCTTTGCAATTTAAATAGTTTTCGAATATCATGTGTATTATAGATTATTTGAATCAGAAAGTGTTTATAAAACAACGGCGTGGCTGTTTTCACACCCGTTATAAAACAAATGTGTTATAATTTCTTCAAAATTAATAATAAATAATAGATGCCTTAGTTGAAAATAAATCAAAATTGTTTATCCATCTATCTGTTTGAACGGAAATGGGGTAATTCAGTAAATTTTCAAAAACGTTCTCATTTTGTATACACAAAGTATTGCTCATGATTAGGTGATTCTGAAAATTTCAACTCGATCCGTTGAGCGGTTTTCAAACTATATGATTTTTAAAATACGAATAATTGTCTTAGCCGTGGCAATGCAATGACGTCACCGCATGGGACGGTCAGCCGGCTTGGCGCTACTTCCAGATGATTTTAAAGTTTGTGCATAAAAATGGAAGCAAATTTCGTAAAAGCAGATACTCGGCGCGCCAGTTTATGATTTTTTTTGGATGACTTGTAGGCGATATAAAATTTTAATTTTTTTGCAGAGAACCTTAAAATTGCAATATCTCTTCGTTAAGCAAATACAAAAAATTTGCTAAATGAGCCCACTGATTTCAATTTTTGAATTTTTTTTATTTTTCATTCATATAAAATTATTTCAGACTAATAATGTGAGCTGTACGCTCTTTATATTTAACTTCGCTTTTATTTGTTCCACCAAAAAAATAAATCAATATTCGAGCAAGATTTAATTTTAAAAATTTATTGATTCTTTTTATTAGCAATTAAATTTGTGTAAATATATCTGTTATTATAAGTATCGTAATATAACTACGTGCTACATCCCTTGGAATAAATTGCGAAAGTGAAAAAACATTAAATAAAGCCAACTAGTCAATCATTCCCAGTCAAACAGAAATACATTTTATTACCTACCATTTTAGCCTGTTATTTCATATACAATAAGTTCCAAATGACCTACGAATCATTTCTAAAATAATTTTTTGTGAAATGCTTCTATTTACTTTAGTAAGTTACTCAAAATTTACAAGGTTTTTCACGAGGACCACTTTTCGGTGCCAGATCATTTACGAGTATGTTTATTATTAACAACATTTTTTATAGAATCTGGATATCGCCAAGAGATTTTGAAATATCGTGTGAAGTTTTAAACGGAATGCCCTGTATATCTAAACGAAAAGTTTATATATATTAATATTGAAGGGAAAATTGCCAGTCAAAATTTATAAACTAAAATAACTACTTTCATAATTAATTACTCAAATAATAGACATAACTATAACTTGTATAGAAATCCCATACTAGTTCGTGTTTCATAAACTTTGTCAGTGTTCTATTTTGCCATCAAAACACTCAGTGGAAATGACGAGAGAAGTACTATCACGTGCCAATATCCTTGACAGAAAAAATGACCTCGGATGGAGAAGGGTCGAGCGGGACTATTGCTCTTTATCCACGCCATCTCTGTATTCTCGGACGTCTCGTAGAGGCAGACCCATTCGCCGTCGTCCTGGACCGTTGACGCCGCCGGATCCCAGCAGTTCGTGGGGCCCTCTCCTGTTTTAGCTAGGCGCGTCTTTTCTTCGCCCGCTCGTCTGTGCGTGTGTTGGCTCGCGACCTGGGTGGCGGGTGAGGTCGTGCAGTTGTGAAGCTTAGGAAGCACACTGGCGCTTTAGTTTATTAGCACTAGCGAATTTAATACTGTGGCGCCTTTTTGTCACTGTCTGTTGGCTTTGCTGGAGCAATTATTGTTTGTGAGGTTAGGAGTACCTCATTTGGAAGCTTTTAGAACTTATAGTGTGAGCCCTCTTCCGTAACTTTTTCTACGTGCAAAAGCAAAATTTGGAGCGTACTACTGTACTGGTCATTCATCCGGCCCTGGTTATAAGTTGTAGGGTGGTCGGGCTGACGTTCGTACACACTCCAGGCTAGGTCCGCAAAGATCCTGCAATGGCGTCCGCATTGAATTTAGATTTCTAAAAGGTCTTTGTTCTTTTTCCATTATGGATTGTACTGTATAGTCACTCTGAAATCCAATAAGAATTTGGCCTCCTTAAAAAGACACCTATCTTGGAATGATTGCTGTCTCTATAAGTTATTGAACTGAAAACGATTTTGGGCAATGGTGATACTAAGGCCTTGCAAAAGCCTGAATTTCGTAAATTTTGGAACTATGTTATTTTCCAAAAATCCGCTACTGTAGTAAAATTTTGACGGCAATCTGGATCTAGGGAAATTTCGGGGATTTCGAAACATGGGTAAAATTGTGTTTTCTCGCTCTGCAAGTTCCAATGTGCGTCATAGGTCGTCGACACTTACTTGTCCTTAGTCTCGTACTCTTCGCTAGATTTGTGCCCCCTGAATGGCTTTTTGAAGATTTATTGAATTATTTTGAAAACATGGGTGAAAATTTGAAATTTTCAAAAAACTCGGCGCCTGTACTGATTACACTCACAGTATTCGTTTAGCCAACCAAAAAATTGTTATGTTTAGGACTCTGACTACTATACCAGTAGCGCACCCAGACAAAGTTTGAAGGGAACCAATTTCAAGTGTAGTCTCTAATGTGGTTGTATAATTAACATTTGCTGCATAGTAGCATAGTACACATGAGAACTAAAATATGAAAAATCAAATTTGTGTATGAACTTCTGGATATATTTATTTATTCGTTTTTCATGACTGGCTCCAAAGCTCTGGATCTTCTGGATTTCTGCTCTCGTCGCTGCCAAATATCATATATATTCGAATAATCGGCCAATCAGAGCAAAGCACCCCCTCGCGTTTGCAAAACAAACTTGTCCGTACCGAATCTAGTTGCTATAAGATCGATGGTAACACACTAGGCGATTGCGCCGCTGCAGCACAACCGCATATTGTGTTGCCGTTCTTAATGTTAAATGTTTAACTTGATGTCTCCGCCAAATTGAACAGCGGGTGGCCGTCAAGCGAGGGGGCGATAATCGTAAAGGCAATTTTCGGGACGTACATTATTCGATGTAATTCAGAGATGAAAAATTCGCTCGTCATAAATTCAAACAGATTTGATTCCATAGAATCGCTGGCTAAATATTGCCGAGCTGTGGCAAAAAATGAGTTTGAAAAAATATCTCTCACGTTATATTTTCAAGTTGGGACACCCTGTATATATTTTTACGAAAATGTGCTGAACTTAAATAATATTCGTGTGTTTTTTAGTTTTCTGTACTATGTATATTGTAAAATATTTTTCCAAGATTTAGTACTTATAAAATTATAAAACTAGCTTTGGATGATATAACTCCGTATCAATAAAAATTGACTTACTTTTCAACTTTTTTTCACTTTTCAAGAATTAATAGAAATATATTTCAAGCTTAGTTTTGACAACGTCGCATTTACGGTGTCGCTAACACTAGAAGAAGATTAACTTGACTGTATTGCCTAATTATTTATTAAATCGAATGATCTATTATTTTGATCTAGACAATTTGAGGCAAAAATGTTCGAGGGATTTCCTGTTAAAGTCGGTAAATTGACACAAATCTAACTCCATTCACACAATCGTTCAGGTGATTGTGAAATATTTGGTGTTTTTTGGCGCAACGAATTATTTGTTTTGAAATCATTATATTAGATTTTTTATATGAACTGGTCTAACGAAATAGTTTGTAAGCAGAAAAACCGATTATTTATTTAAACCACCATTCTCCCAGATTTCATTTTTTAGAAGCATTTGGGCCCAACCCACCAGAATAAAGGCCCTCGTCACTAAAGTTGATACTAATAATGTTTTTTTTAAAATAAAAAATCAGCGATATTTTTTAAATAATAATGATTTTTATTTATATATTTTTTAATATGCTTGTGCTTTATTGCTTAATTTTCATTTGTTGCACTTAATAAAAGTAATTTATTAAATAGTTTGATTTATTTAGCTTAAAAATCGACGATTTTTAAGATTTTTTTACACATCACTGGGCAAAGCATAGGCAAAGGTAATAAAGCAGAATTAAATAAATTAAATGTAATTAAATTTATAGTCAGCAATTAATTTATAAATGTGCAAGTCTTTTTAACATAAAAACGGTTATTTCTTTATAAAATTACATACCTACCAAATTAATTAAATTAAATTATTTAAGTATTAAAGTAAATTAATTTTTACTTTGTTTCTTTTAATAGATATTTTAATCGTATTTGTCCAACGCTTCCTTATTAAATAAGTTGTTTTGGAATAAAACTATGAAGAGATTTTCACTCAAAAATCTACACGTCTGACATTCAGTTCAGTAGATTTAGAATAGATGCTGCATTGGTAAAAATTGATTAAGAATGGACGATACCACAAACAACCACCCATTGCGTTGGAATAATATGAAAATAATTTTGTATAATAAATATTTGTATATAAATCAACAATTTATAATTTATTAAATCACCGCCAGTGTTTTTTCAGTACGTAGGTACAACACAAATACCTGTGTTGTCCCTTATTGCCACATTTTTATAGAGTGTGTCTCGATGAAAAGTAACACAAAAAGTTCTTATTAACCAGGGGCCAATTCTGACTCCCTTGAGGATGTTGATCTTTTTTTTAAATACCTTCTAAACCAGTTGAAGTATCAGTCCCCAATTTGGTATGAGTTTATTCCTATTGACAACTGATGTGATGAAAAATAGGTTACGCAGAACCGACTTTTTATACCTAGCTAGGTACATTAAAAAATATATAATATGTTATATGTATACAGTGTGTCCCGTTTTTCAGGTTAACACCTCTGAAAATGTGAAAAGGCAGTGGACTTTACGCAAGCCAATTTTTTTACAAATAGTACCCTGAAGGGAGGTTATATTCTACTAATCATTTTATTGATGTAACAAAAGCCTGGCCTACTACGATTTTTTAAAGGGGTCGTTTTTCCAGAAAGTGGTATTAGGCAAAAAGTGTTATATTTATAGGTCTGTATTTTTTCTTTGTCCGGTTGGTAATTGTTTTCACTTTCATAGCAATCTTTGACCTGCTTATTATAATTTTTGGTTGTCTAATTTTTCGAAGTTTGGCACCACATAAAAAAACACTCCATAGACATTTGTCGTTCAAATTTGGTATATGGGTATTTTGATGGGTGTTGAATAGCCTGGAAATATTAACTTTTTGATAAAAAAATGTCTAATACTATTTTCTGGAAAAAACGTCCCTTTCAAAAAAATCGTAGTAGGCCAGGCTTTTGTCACATCAATAAAATTAGTAGCATATAACCTCCCATCAGGGTACTAGTTGTAAAAAAATTGGCTTTCGGAAAATCCACAGCCTTCTCACATTACCAGAGGTGTTAACCTGAAAAACGGGACACACTGTATATTCTTCTCAATTGGAAATGTTAAGTTATGAGTTTGTAGTATGAAAAACTGATGGTAACTGAAAAAATTATTAATTTTGTAAAATTTTAATAAAGGACACGGTTTTCGAGAAAAAATGTATCCTTTACAAAAAACAACACATTCTAGAAATCTCGATAGCGAATTTTAATTAGAGAATAATTTGTAGAGATAATAGGAAATTTTGTATGTGTTAAGTTCTGCACCCTTTATCTTTAAAAAAAATGGGATTGATTTTCAAAAGGAACCCATGACTGTGTAGAGAATCAAAAGAGATTTTCAACGATATGCAACCCTTCCTATTTAAAAATTTGGAGGGGATGTTTACCCCGCTCAGGGGATAGCAGTTAGAACCATCTAATTTATGCAAAAAAATGTCCCCCTCGCAAACAAAATCGACGGGTTTTTGCGTTTTTCCAAAAAAAGTTTTTCCTAGCCGCTATGGGCTCTGTTACGTTTTCGTTGGGCCATCCTGTATGTATATATATGTTGGTTAGAAAAAAAAGTAAAAAATTGCATAATTGATACTTGAATAACTTGGCATAACTTTGCAAATAATGATTAAACCAAGGTTGGCATGATATATATCACGATATTTATTCCTTGATATATATCATGATATTTATAAAAATTTAAATAATGATTCCTACTGGTTTAAAGTTGTTAAAATTGTTAATAGATGGCAGAAAAAGTTGGAAAATTGACATTTTTATTTAAATATAACTATCAGGTAGAAAAAATTAAAAAAGAACATATTGTTTGGATTTGGGACAATTCAAATACACCAGAGCCTTTGCCTGAAGAATCATCGGAACATTCCATCGATTCTGACAAATCCGACGCTAATTTACCATTGATACGTTTAATGCAAATTGGTTAGTTTTCGTAGTACCTAATATTCACGCAAATATTTTTTATTAGTTTCAGAATTTATATTTATTTTTCGTTCTTGTCTTTGATATTTGGAATAAAAATATTTACCTAAATAGTTTCTTAATTTTATTTCGCTACTATAATATTATACACAAACTAATTAATTAAAAAAAAATAAATATCAAGACTTGATGTATATCGGATATATGTATATCAAGATATATATCTGATATTTGATATTTATATAAAATATCATGATATTTGCCAACCTTGGAATAAACTAAGGATATTGACTGTAACTTTTCAACCTCAAAGTGTCGTAAAGAAACCTTGATTTCAAAACGCGGCGATTTTTTTCCCTAAATTTGTCGTTTTTCTGAAAATGGATTTAATTAGTAACTTTTCACTGCTGACGTTAAAAAATTTTAAACTACAGATCTGAAAACTAGACACCTGAAGCTTCAATATCCTTTTTTTTTCGGATTCTCTTTACGGTCATTTCCCTCCAAGTTACAGCTCTTTGAAAATCACCCAGAATTTTGAGATTTTTTTAATATCCATTAATTTATGTGCCTAGTGTAGTTATAATTAATCTGTATTGTACGTAGGTAATAAAAATTCTTATTTGGTTCTAATTTCCGATTGCACCAGTAATATGAAGGAATTTAATCATTTTTTTACCAAATTATATCTAAAAATTGTTTTCAAAGATTCGACAAGAAAAAATACAAATAGGAAATAAAGAAAGCACTTTAAAAAATCATGATTTTTTTTATCAAACCTGCCTATTACTTTTTAAATTATACTTTAAACTGGAAACAAACATGTTAATAATTTTTTTTCTTTATTTCAGGACCAAATGACGTGAAATCTAAAGAGCCAGTGCCGCCATGAAGCGGTCGTCGCTATTGTTCGTGTCATTGGCCTTGGTGTTGGCCACAGCAAATTCATTAGTGCAACCAAAAGAAATAATAAGAACTTTTTCGGAACCAATGGCGCAAGCGTTTAACCACCTCGTGGTCGACAAAAACACGGGGAGGGTGTACATAGGAGCGGTAAACCGACTGTACCAACTCTCTCCCGACTTAGATTTGGTAATATCCGAGGAAACTGGGCCGAAGATGGATTCCGACGATTGTTCTGTCCTCGAGTGTAACACCGCTATAAACAAGAAGATGACTGACAACGTTAATAAGGCTTTGGTGATAGATTATACGACCACGAGACTGATATCTTGCGGGAGTCTTTTTCAAGGAATCTGTTCCGTCAGAAATTTACACAACATATCCGATGGAACTTTGGAAGTGCGGGAGGCTGTCGTCGCGAACAACGCTACTGCCTCTACCGTAGCATTTATTGCTCCTGGACCTCCAAATCCCCCAGTATCGCAAGTGATGTACGTTGGCGTCACCTTTACTCTGGGTTCACCATATAGGTCCGAAGTACCGGCGGTTAGCAGTAGATCTTTAGACAAAGACAAAATGTTCGCCATCGCTCAAACGGCCGTAACGACGGGCACCAGAATGTTCGTGAACTCGTTAGCTAGAGAACGTTATCCAATTACGTACGTGTACGGTTTTGCATCTGAGGGTTTTAGTTATTTTCTAACGACGCAGATGAAGCACACAACGTCGAGTCAGTACATCAGCAAATTGGTTAGAGTTTGTCATGACGACGAAAATTATTATTCTTACACCGAAATACCCATGGATTGTATCAGTGAGGCGCAAGGTGGTAGAAAATATAATTTGGTCCAGGCCGCCTATGTTGGTAAGGCGGGTTCAGATCTGGCTTCCGATTTGGGCATAACGGCCCAAGATGACGTTCTGTTTGCCGTGTTTAGTGAAAGTGATCCTGTGATAGCTAATAAACCTTCCGATCTCTCCGCGCTCTGTGTGTATTCGCTCAAAGCGATACGGAGGAAATTTATGCAGAACATCAAGCATTGCTTCAGTGGAAAGGGCCTACGTGGCCTGGATTTTATCTCTCCGAGCCATCAGTGTGTATCAACGGTGAGCTTTTCTATTTATTTAGCAAGTAATATTGTGTAATGTTTCTACTGAACTACGGATAGTGTTTTAAAGGACCGTATAGTAGTCTAAAAAAATATTTTAATAAAAGATAAAGGACCTGAACAACACTCACGCAAAAATACGTAGCTCATTTATTTACTAGTATAGTCTTTCCGGTCTCAATTGAAGACCAAAGAGCTTGACGGTTTGTACCAGGTTCGGTCGCTACGCAACAACTCGGCATTGAAATATTTGAAAAACTTGTTCCCATGTTTATTTAGCCATACCCATATATAGGTCTGGTCGACCAGTTGAAGAATGCGCGCGCGGACAAACGGCAAACAAACACAGCCGGACTGGGCGACCAGCCATAAATTTCAGTTGTCGACTAATTGCCTAGCAGTGCAGTGCACCAATGCGGAATTTGGTGTGATTCAGGTAATTTCAATTTATTATAGGCACCTTCTATTAATCATTCATACTACAATTGCGAAAGGGAGAAAATTATTTCAACATGGCATTTTGTAGACCTTTTGAAACTGAACAAAACGAAATACCGCCAGACAATATTGAATTAGTAGAACCGGTTGTTGATGAAACAGATTTAGAATTTAAAAATAAAGATTTACATGTTCAATGTCAGCGGCTCAATATAAATTTTTACGATTATTTAAAAAAGGAAGAAAATGAAAAACCAGATAATTAAATTATAAATAGAATTCACATATTAACTAAAGTTTCAGTGTCCACAATTTTTCGGGTTATTAAACAAGGTGTCATTGCGTAAAGAGGAAGTGAAAATAAAAATTTAAAATTATTGACAACATGACGAGAGACGTAAAATTGAGGACATAAATGTTGTTGGCCAAATGAACAAATATAATAGAAATTTTCTACACATTATATACAAATTTTTATTATTTTTTACCTTTCGCAGAAAACTTTTTTAGGGACGCCCATGAAACTCATTAACTTTTATTGCTAGGCGTTTTTATACATGTTTAACTGACATCAGAAAGACTATGCAGGACAGGACTAGTATATTTTGGACAAGGCGGTTAAAATCAATGTTTTATTGATTTTAGACGACCAGTTCAACTCAATAATGACAAGGTTGGTCAAAATGAGTTTTATATAAGAAAAAATTATTTTATTAAAACAACAACAGGCATGAAGATTTTACTACTGGTAAAAATTAAAGGAACAAAATATTTTCATGAATTTTTTAGTGATTTTCGAAAGGCTGGATCTTAGTGAAAAATGGTCGTGTCGAGAACAAACAAACAATCATTTAGAAGCTTTAAGTCTCTAATTTCAAAATCTTTAGACAATAAATTTTTTTGAGCTACGGTTATCGAGCAATCAAAAGAAATAGGTACTTCGAGAAAAATTTCCAATTTTTTTTTCAATTTGCATTTCTTTAATTCCTTTCTGAAACATTGATCACTTGGAACAGAAAAACGGTTTAATGTATCCACTTGCCAATTTACAGGGTTATTTGCGAGTACATTGATCTGTAAAAATTTCTGTCAACATTAGTCTTTTGTAAATTAGCGGTACTTAGATTTTCTAAAAAACAGTCATTTTTTACATTTTTTCCAAATCGATGTGAAGGATGAAAACAAAATTTTTTCTTCGAAAACTATGACGGGTCCCTGCAGAGAATTGGTTCTAGTTTTCAAAACAGCCCTTGGATTTACTGTGCAATAATTTCTTGTAGAGATATCGATTATTAAAGACAAAAGTGTTATTTTTCATTCAACCGTCGATATCTGGACAACCAATAGTCGCACGGAGACCTTTCAATGATCAAATCAAATCAATAGCTGAATAAATAAACTCCTCTGTATTGATTGAATTTTAAAAAATTTTTAAATTGTTTCATAAAAGCATCCTGCGGGGTGTGATTATGTTTATAGTACCTGTATAACTTCTACTTTTCATATAAAACTTTTAAGTTCCACATTTCTATTGCCTAGATTGGGTATAAACGAAAACAATGAGAATATACGTATTCTTTTGGATGCTACTCTACATTGCGTTCCTTTCTGGTAAATATCTGTTAAGGCTGGCCACATGCTGCGTTTTTCGGATCCGATTTCCGATTTCGTTTACCGAATTAATTATTACCCGACGACAAAATATGCAGGATGTTTTCTAAACCTTTCATAACTTCTGGAGGTTATTTTAGCAAAACGTATTTTAATTAGTAAGTACCTTTTCAAGGGTTTTATTTCGAGTGTCTTTCATATTTTTTCTATTTGCTTCAGAAAACCATGAAAACATGATTTTGTCCCAATGTTTCCGTTTTTCTTTTATTCTAATTCGCAATAAAAAAAAATATGTAATTGGAAAGAGCAAAACTTATTTAGTAGATGAGCTCCTTTTCTAAATATAATCTAACAGAACGTGCAACGAACCGAAAGGGCTAATGACAGAGCATTACAAAGTCCTAACGAAGAATGGGTTCATTCTTAGCGTTAGGTAAAAAATCGATAGAGTGGAACTACTACACTCATGCGCACAACATTCCCTGCTGGATGTACTATACAGGGCACAAGTTGGCTGGTAAGTCGACGTATTCCGTTGAGATCATGGTAGTAGAACTCGTTTGTAATCAATTTATTTATAAGTACCTATATTTCGAGGTACATTGTTTTTAAATTAATTTAACCATCAACAACGTTGTACAATATATTGTGAGTTGTCTATAAACAGCGGATTCATTCAGTTTTTGAAATCAGAGTTGTTTTAGCTCGTTTCGAAGGTTTTTTTTTACGTTCCGTAAAGCTGGCAATGTTCCAAAGTTCCATACCTACATTCCAAATAAACTTTCTCTTTCTCACTTTGGAAGCCATTTCGTCAATGCACAACGAGGCTTAGTACATGACGTTCGAAACAGGATTAACAAGATATTGCACAATGTAACCCATAAAATACAATATCTTCCTAGTTGCTTAACATACAGGGTGACCCCAAATAAAGTACAAAAAAAATTTAGAAGGTGATTCTACTTATAAAAATGTAAGTCCTATAATTTAGAAGTTTCTGTTATTAAAGGTGTTACATAACGTCAAAGTTATGTTCGTAGTTGATATTTCGCCATAATCATTTGTGAATGAAACGGCATCAAAAACGTCCTGTACTAAATATCGTTATGCCTTGAGTTCACATACAATAGTTTCCAAAGAGGAAGAGAGAAAGCTTGTTTTGAAATGTGTAGAACTTTGTAGAACATGGCCAATGTTAAAAATGAGTAGTACGGTCAGTTGCCTTTCAAGTACGGAGAAAGGTACCCCTAAGCTGAACAGAAGCTATTTCTTTAAAAAACTTAATTGACGGTCTTGAGACCGCTTTAGATGTATCAGGTTTATTTACAACTTTAAATTCTTTCCCCATTTTTTGTTGTTGGAACTAGAAAATGAATTTTTTTTTAAATTCAGAATATCCCAAAAATTATAGGTTTTTCCACGAAGATAAAACTATAGCAATATTCAAGTAATACTTCAGTACTTGATATTTAAATATAAAGAAAATGAATTACGTCACATAGGTACCGTTTGCTCTCTCAATTTTTTTAAATTTTTTTAATAAATGCATTTGTTAAAGTAATTTATTAAATAGGTACCTATGTAATTGGAATTACTCTGCTCTTTTAGCTTAAAACCAATAAAATTTATTACGAAATAGAATAATAATATTCAGCAGGTCTCTCCATATATGGGGAGAAAATATTTCCTTAATATGACTCGAACTGAATCTAAACTGATGTTTTTTTCCGTATATTTTGTTGTCACAACATTTCGCTAATAGGTCGATCTTTATGTGTTCTGAAGATAAAAGGATATAAAATTATGAAAAGTAATTAACATTTTTAAATTCGTAAACTAAGTAGAAACTTGCGTAAATATGTAATTAATGACAAAATGCCTTTATACTGAATACAAACTTGTGCTTGTATGTCGATAGATGAAGTGACAGTTGCTATTTCACTCTTGCTTTCTCTTAATTGTTAGGCGGCCTTCAGAATAGCCCCCAATAATTTCTCTTCGATGTTTGAATCTTGCGTTAAACTAAATTAAACCTTTCATGTAGTCTTTCCAAAGTCAGTTGAACACGTATAAAAACGCCTAGCAATAAAATTTAATGAGTTTCATAGGCCTCCCTAAAAAAGTTAAAAAAGTTTCTGCTAAAGGTAAAAAATTATAATAATTTGTATATAATGTGTAGAAAATTTCTATTATATGTTCATTTGGCCAACAACATATTTTAATTATTTATGTCCTCAAACAATTTTATTATATTGATGGTAAATTTGATGCCATGTTGTGGTGTAATAATATTAGTAAACAAAATATCCCTCTTATTTCTCCCTTTCGCAATTGTAATATCAATGATTAATAGAAGGTGCCTATAATAAATTAAAATTACCTAATTCACACCAAATTCCGCATTGCTGCACTGCACTGCTAGGAAATTTGTCAACCACTTGTCAACAATTGAGATTTATTGCCCAGTCGTCCAGTGCAGCTGTGTTTGTATTTCGTTTGCCCGTGTGCGCATTCTTCAACTGGGCGTATACATTTCTACCACCTCCACGTTTAGTTCGACCAGACCTGTATATAGGTATGGTTAAATAAATATGGGAACAAGTTTTTCAAATATTTCAATGCCGAGTTTCTGCCAACCTTTTGATTCTTCAATTGAGATCGGAAAGACTGTAAGTATTACTCCTTATAATTCATAGGCCCTGTAAATAAAGATGGACCCACCATTTTAGTTTTATAATTGGACATGCTTTATGCTCCTAAAAAATAAATAAAGAATAGTAGTAAATAAAACAAAATAAATAATACATAATAAAAAGCAGAAAAAAATCATGTTATTAAAAGAAATTTAAATAAAATTAAAAAATATGTAAAGAAACAGCATCAGTAACTACTATTATAAATAACTGTGGCTCAGGAAAAATTGATGAAAGGGCATAAAAAAATATTTAT